TTGCTATAGGGCACGTGCACTCGCCAGACAGACAGAGAGAGCCAGAGAGACAGAAAGCGAGAAATCACCCCCCAGGGGGGATGGTCACACCGCAATCCCTTCTCCTCCATTCTCCTCTCGGGATCTTGGGCACGCACGCACACGCGCCTGGCCTGAGTTTTAAGCCATCTTGTCCGGGACGCGAACCACGGTCGACTACATGGGAGTCCAGTGACATAGCCATTATGCTAACTGCTGGTTCCCCAGGGCCTTCAATCTTAAGAGACCAGTAGAGATGGATAAGACTTCCAGCTTGCCGGCCTGCCCCCACCATCTCTTGCATTTTCTCTATATTTGGGATCTCATGTGAGACTTGAAAATAGGTTTCCTTTGCTTAAAAGAAAAAGTTGAGAGGCCAGCAGGTGGTATGGTGGTTACGGTGCTGCACTCCCACGTGGCCCGGACTGCAGTTCGGGTCTTGGACCTGGCAGCTTGAAACTTAGGCCAGGCATGTGTGCGTGTGTGCCCAAAATCGAGGAGGAGAATGGAAGAAAAGGGATTCCGGCACGGCATCTCCCCCAGGGGGTGATTTCTCACTTTCCCTCTCACTGTCTGTCTCTGTTTCTCCCCAGCAAGTGCACACGCCCTATGGCAAAATCCTTTTAAGAAGAAAAAGTTGCAAAACCACTAGGGGATGGTTTGAAGTTTTACATTTTGGAAGCATAAGAGCCCAACTCCTGCCTGCCTTTCCCCAGTGTTTGCCGTGTGCCTACTATGTGCTTGTACACTGTTCCAGTCTCAGGGACATGTCCACAGTGGGCCTCTGTGATGAGCTGCTCTGACAGCATGAAGCTGGTTGTCCATCCTGTCCCCAGTGTTCAAGGGAAGCTTAGAAGAAGCCACGTTAGGATGGAGACCTGAAGAGCAAGCGGAAATCACTGGGGGTGGGCAGTGCCAGGCTGAGAGAATGTGCAAAGGGCCTGAGGTGGGAGGGCGTAAGGAGTGTTTAAGGGACAAAAAGAATGTGAGTCTGGTGACAACAGAGGAAGATGAGGGAGTGAAGCCGGAAAGGTGGGCGGGGCCAAATTGCAAAGGGCCTTCCACTGGGTAATCCCTGCATTTCCACCTGGGAGCCCTTGGGGCAAAGGTTTGGATAGAAGAGGTTAGGGACTTGCTTTGAAAAGATTAGGATTGGCGCTAGTAGGTGGTGTGGTAGTTAGGACAGTTGGACTCCCACATGACTGACTACAGTTCAAGTCCCTGAACTGGCAGCTTGCTTTCTCGCTTTCCCTCTCTGTCTCTCTCTCAAAAATTAATTAATTAATTGATTGATTAATGACAATAGCAGAGAGTTTACACATGCCAAGGAAATTGGTCTGTGACGCCCCCTGACAGGTCTCCAGGTCTTCAAGGCTGCCTTTGGACATATTGGTCTCTAGCCACCTGCAGTCAGGGTGCTAAGCAAGGGCAGGTCAGGACTGAGTTAGAATTAGAGCTGAGTCTCCACCCAGCACTCTCGCGGCACCCTCGGGCCAGTGCCTTCGCCTCCCTGCCCCTCTGTGCCTCAGTTTCCTCTTGTGTAAAAGTGGGGCTCATTCGACCTCATCAGGAGGTTGTGAGGAATAGATAAGATCAAGCTTGTGAAGCACTCCGCACAGCGCCTGGTCAGAAGCCAGTGTTCGGGTCCACGGGTTCGATTCCCTGGCTGAGGTATACACTGGGCACCGTCTCCTCTGGTCCCGGTTGGCAGTCCTTTCTCTCTCTCTCTCTCTCTCTCCCTCTCTCTCTAGAAAAAGAAAGAAGTAAACTGAAAAAACTTAAGAGGGGGCCGGCAGGTGGCATGGTGCCGGCTAGTCTAAGGTGCTAGACTCCCACATTGCTGAACATGGTTCTTGTCCCGGACCTGGCAGCTTGCTTTCTCTCGCTCTCATTTTCTCTGGTGAGCACACATGCCCTATAGCACATTTTTAAATAGCGGTAGTATGTTTTTAAAAGAAGAAGAAAACCTAAAGCAGATCACGTTGTGCCTTCCATAGCTCCCATCTTGCTTCAGATGAAAGCCAAAGATCTCACTGTGGCCCACCAGCCTCAACACCTCCATCCTCACCCCCATCCTCGGCTCTCATTTGTTCTCTCTCTCCCCCTTTCACTCATCCCAGACGCATTGGCAGCTTCTCTCCCTCTACCAGCCCCGGCACAGTCCCCCCGGGGCCTTGGCACCTGCCCTCCCTCCACATAGCCACAAGTTCTGTTCCCTCCTCTGCCTCCTAGTTAATGTGAAGGTGCAGCGGCTGGACTCCAGAGCCAGGCTGGATTCAAATCTCAGCTCGGCCATTACATGGCTTGATTTCTTCACCTTGTGTTCCTCATCTGCAGAGTGGGTACTTTTTGGCATTTGTCTTGTTTTTTAAGGTTTTTGCTATAGGGCGTGTGCGCACATTGGAGAGAGACAGGGAAATTAAGAAATCACCTCCTGGGAGGATGGCCACTCTGCAATCCCTTCTCCTCCATTCTCCTCCCACGACTTAGGGCATGCATGCACATGCATGATTTTCAAGCCACTGGGTCCAGGTCTCGAACCGCAGCTGGCCATGTGGGAGTCCAACACCTTAACCACCATGCCACCTGCTGGTCCCTACGAAGGGTTTTAAAAAGTACTTTTTCTTTTCCTTTTTAAAATTTTATTTATTTTTCCATGAGTAAGAGACAGACAGAAACAGCACTCCTAAAAGGATCTGAACATTGTGATCCATCCCCAGCCGTTAGCTTACCCTGAGTCACAGACAAATACATGCCCAGTGTATTCAGTGAGGTCTCTGGACTGGAGCTGGAAACCTTCCCATGTTGGATTGCCTCTCAGAGCATTGTATTTTGTCATTGCACCAGAGTCTGGCCCCAGAATAGTGTTTTATTTAAAGAATTATTACTTTTAAAATTTGCTATTGGGCATGTGTGTTCACCAGAGAAAGAGAGGAAAAGTTAGAAAGCAAGTCACCAGTTCTGGGACCCAAACCATGGTTGGCCATGTGGAAGCCCAGTGCCTTAGCCACCATACCACCTGCTGGACCCCAGAATAGTGTTTTTAAAAGTGCTTCCATGTGACCAGCAGGTGGTGTAATGGTTATGTCACAAGACTCCCACATAGTCAACCCCGGTTTGAGTCCCGGACACGGTGGCTTAGAACTCATGCTGGGTGCATGTGCATGCGTGCCCAAGATCCCGAGAGGAGAATGATGGAGAAGGGATTAAGGGATTATGGCCGTGCCCATCCTCCCAGTGGGTGATTTCTTGCCTGCCTCTTTCTGTCTCTCAGGTGAGCGCACATGCCCTACAGGAAAAAATCTCTCTGAAAACAAAGTGCTTCCTTATAGGAGAAATGCAAAATTGAAAGGACCTTTATGTGTAAGGCACACAGACCTGCGGCCAGGGCACAGCCGGGGCAGTAAGAGTGCATGATGGCTGGACAGTGCCAAGGCCCTGGGAGGGCTTGCCTGCCCACCTGCCAGCACGTTGCTGTTGCCCTGCTCTCTGCACTCTCCGGGCCTGGCTGTCTCCCCCTCTAGAAGAATGCAGCCCTGTGAGCTCTTGGTTGAGTCACTAAAACAAGTCCTGATTTGCCTCCTTCGCCTGAGCGGTGTGGGAGCTTTGTCTTCTTTATGGCCATCCCCAAACCGGTGCCGGCACGTAGCAGGTGTCCAGTAGCTACTTGTTGGATGAATGAATGGAAGGGTGGACAAGCGAGCGAATGGGAGTCACCGCGCTGTGTTTCTTGCCGCTGTGCTGTGCGCTGTCATTGCCCCGTGTGTTCCTGGGATCCCCGGTTTCCTCCATGCTGACTCCCCTCTACTCTGCCCCTGCAGAGGAAGGCGAGTACTTCCTGAAGGTGCTGATCCCCAGCTACGCAGCGGGCTCCATCATTGGCAAGGGCGGGCAGACCATCGTGCAGCTGCAGAAAGAGACGGGGGCCACCATCAAGCTCTCCAAGTCCAAAGACTTCTACCCCGGTGAGCTCCGGCCCAGGTCTCTGCCCTAGGCCTCCTGTCTCCTCCCTTCCACCTGAACCGTGGGCGTGTGCGGGGGGGGGGGGTGGCTACTCCAGGGGCAGTGAGAGTGTGTGTGTGGGGTGTCCCTCCCCTCCCCCCCAGGGGACAGAGCTGCCCCCAGCCACAGGGGTCTGGCCCAGCAGATGGGGGTGGGGGCAGGGCCAGACAATGGGTCTGCTGCATATTCATGAGTTCATTTGCATGATGTGCTGGCAGATGTGTCCCTTCCCACACACCTGCCCCCTCTGGTCAGTTGGAGGAGCCCGTGCAGAGGGCGAGGCAGGTGTCAGGGTGTCCCTCGGGGCTTGGGGGCCAGTCATTTGTGTCGCACATGCCCCCAGTAAGGACTGTCCCCCAACTCTTGCCCTTTGGATTTCTGTCATCCCATCTTGCCCGAAACTCACTGCTTTTCTCAGCCTCTGTCCTCCCTTGCGTGTGTCTTTCTCTTTCGGGTTTCTACTTTCCCGTCCCGCTTCCCTCAGTCTCCCTTCCCGGCAGCGTCGTCTCCTCCGGCCCCACCCACGGTCCCTCTCTGGCTTGGTGGGATTACACAGTCCTCACTCTTGTCCCTCCTCTCACCCCTGCACCTGTCCTGTCTGCCCCCTCCCTGCCCTTTCTCCTCTGTTCTTTCCTTCTCACTCTCCTGGGTTCACGGGGCTCCGTCCTGCTCTGAGCTCTCTGCCCTCACTCGGCCCAGACCTCCCCGACCCCATGGGCCACGTTACCCCTCATCTCCCACGCCTGGCTTCCCTCTCCTCTGTCTCTGTCTCCGTCTCAGCCCCTTCCCCGTCTGTCCGGCCCCCTCTGTCCCCCTCTCTCCCTCTCTCCCTGCAGCCCATTTCAAGGCCCTCCACTGTGATCCCCCTCACACCTCTCCCCTCCACGGCTCCCTCCCAAGACCAATGCCCTAGCTTCGAGGAATCCAGGGACGGCCCTGAACTGCATCTTTGGTCCAGCACTGGTTCCGGTTCAGCCTTAATCCCTTTGGATTTTTTAGGTCAAACACCAGAGCTGGAGCGCAGGGTCAGGACACACATTCCCTCTCCCCCTCCCTCCCTCCCTTGCTTGCTCCTCTCCCCACCCCTTGCTTCCCATCTCACTAAGCAGCTTTGGCAAGGCTTTAGAGAAAAATCTAGTGAGCCCTGCACACCCCTCCTTCCCTCTTCCACCCTGGCCCAGTTTCCCCCACACCCCTCTTACCCAGAAGATACGGATAAGACCTCTGCTTGGGACGTTCATCTGAGGACACTTGGTTCCTGTCCCTGGATCACATTCTGTGCCATGAGACATGTCGTCCCCTCCCAATTCAATGACATGCCTCACAGACCAGGCAGCTGCAGAACCCAGAAGGTGGGACAGTCATTGGTCCTTCTAGGCCAAACGCAGTCCGGAACAGCATGAGCCAGCGTCTCCCCAGCCCAGACAGGTGGCCAGCCCCCTCGCCCACTCCTGACGCAGAACGTCCCGATCATGTGGCATGTGCTGTCCCCTGACTCAGAGATGCGGGACATAGCCCCCTGTGATGTGCTAGTCCTGTCCCCAGGACTTCGAGGGCCCCCACCGGCACACAGAAGTGGAGGCGCGCCTGTGAGGTGCTCCTGGCTGACGTCCTTTGACTCATGTATTCAGCACGCATTCTCACCCTGTGCTGGACAGAGACAGGGGACACGGCTGGGCTGAAGCCTCCCAGCCCGCTCTCACGGGTCTCAGAGCCGGTCAGAAAGACAGAGCCCACGTGGTGATGACAGCATGGTCGGGAAGGGGGTGGGGACGTCTCAGAGAATGGTGGGACCCCAGAACAGGACCACACCCCCACTGGGGAGAGCAGGAAGGCTTTTCTGGAGGAGACTTCCAGAACAGCGAGTACGAACGAGCTCGGCCAAGGGCAGGGAAGGCACTCCAGGGAGATGAAATCGCACATTCAAAGGCTGGGAGGGGTTTGTTGTTGGATGTGTTGAAGTGTAGAGAGCAGGTGACAAGTGACAGTAGAGAAAGGGAAGGGCTCTTTGTGTACACACCCCCCCACACACACACACCGTGTGTCTCCTTCATGAAACACAGACCTACCCAGCCCTTAACCCCAAAGGAGGAGCAGGACACATGAAGGGCGCCCCCTCCTTGGAAGTGAATCCAAAGCCTGAGAACTAATCCTGCCAGACCCTGCATGGGGAAACGGAGATCCAGAAAGGGCCACACAGCCCCCACGCACCAGCTCGGACCACCTTAGTGACTAGAAACACCCCTGATTTTGAGCAATTGCCTAAAGCTCTGGAACCTACCCCAGAAGAAAAGCCCAGGCACACACACGGTAGTTGGTTTAATTATTTTTAGAAAGTTCATTTAATTTATTCCATGAGTGAGCGAGAGACAGAGACCACACCCTTGGCAGATTGCTGGTGCCGAGACCCACCCCCAAGCCTCGACCAACCCTCCTCATGAACACACGTGTGCTCGGCATATGCAGGGAGGTCTCAGGACTTGAACCAGCAACCTGCCTCTGTGGATCTGCCTGGTAGAGTTTTGTATTTTACCACCGTACCACCATCCAACCCCTTTGTTTCATTTTTATTGATTTATAACATATCTTTCATTTAAAGAATTATTTTTATTTAATTTTACTTATTGATTCATTTTATTTTAATTTGACCAGAGAAAGAGAGACAGAGAGAGAGAGAGAGGGAAAGTGAGAAAGCAAGCCACCAGGTCCGGGACTCACACTGTGGTCAGCCATGTGGGAGTGTCCAGTGCCTTAACCACCACGCCACCTGCTGGTCCCGACATACTTACACCTTAACTGCCGACTTAATGTACATGTTCTTTCTTAATAGTAAAAATATAAAATCATTTCTGTCCCCCCGACACAAACACACACACAGCTTATCACGCCACACACCGCAGACAGAGCACCGAGTGGGACAGTGGTCAGGATCCCAGACTGGAGCCAGGCACCTGGATCCCAAACCCTGATCTCTCACTACTGTCTGAGTGAATTTGGACAGATCCCAAGCCCTCTGTGCGTCTCGGCGTCCTTAGCAGGAAATCGGGGATAACATGGCCTACCTCACATATTAAGTGAACACATGCATACGAGTGCTTAGAAGGTGCCTGGTGCTTAGTGTTATGTAAGTACCAGCTGTTATTATTGGACTCTTCCTCGGGCTTTAACTGAGCCCCTCCAACTGGCTCGCACAAAGCCACCGCAGACCCCAGTGGGTTAAACACCACAAGGGGGTAAGAGGTCACAGACGTCCTGACTTGAAAGGAAGTCTCGAGGGGCTAGAGAACCTGGCCACTTCAGCCAAGCTTTCCCGGGGGCCCCCTCCCACCCCCACCAGTTCCCACCCCATCCCACACCCTTTCCTATTTACGCCCAGACGGAGGCAGCCTGCACGCTGACTCACCCTTGGCTCAGACCAAGCCATTGTTCTGGGTGGGGGGGAGTACCAGTGAGGAGTGTGGCCCAGAGTGGTGGGCGATGTCAACTACCCAGTGACACCTAGACACATGGCAGAGCTGGTGTGTCGGGGGTCAGGGTCGTAGCCCCAGCATGCTATGCCCAGATGTTTGCTGGGTACTTACACCCCCAAGTGTCCCAGACACACGAGGCCACAGAGCCTGGCACACACTCAAGACCTTTTGCAGGGAGCTCACTTGGTCCTGCAGACAGAGTGCCACCCGCGGGGAGGGACAGCCTCAGAGCCACACATCAAACACACTCAGGCTTACCCGGGCACTCTCCTCACTCAGACCAGTCTGCTTTGTCTCGCTGTACTATGTACACTCACACTCACACACGACACGCCTATCATCTACAGTCTAACACGCTGACGCCTGAGTGCCCGTCTGTCTCTCTCCCTTCTCACAGTCGCTCATGCCAGTCACTGGGTCTTGTCTGTCTGTCTCTCATACTTGTACGTACACACCAAACATCAGCCGTCGAGGTAGTCTTATGACCAGAGGCATGTCTGTCTGTCTCACTTGCTTACGCACATGTGTGGACACACACCCCAGCACGCAGTCCTGAGTGGTCCCGTTCGCTGTGTGGCCTCGATGCTGCTTCGTGCGCGCCCGGGCTGCTCTCCCCAGACTCTCACGCAGTCTGCTCGGTCTCAGAGTGTGACCATCACAGGGACCCCTGAGGTCCTTCCCACACACAAGGGCGCGCAGGCATCAGAACTGCGCTCACCACGTCATGGACCGTGTTTAAACCGCAGCTTCTCACACGCTCCCAATCCACACCAACACAGGTGAAGATGATGCAGCCAGTCCTGCCCAACACACGCGTGTGCATGCGCGCACACACACACACCACTCACCCAGACAGCCTCACAGATACACGCGGTGGTCACCGTGTCGTCCAGCCTCTCCCGCCCACATCCAGCCCAGCCCCACTCCGCCCCCCTTCCCCCACCCCCAGCACACACAGCGGGAAGGGTACCTGGGTCCGGAACTGCAGCCAGTACCTGACAGATACCCGGCAGGCACACCCGTCCCACCTCCGGGAGATGTCTTTGACCCACCTTGCTCTCCCCTCTCCACACCCCTGCCCTCCCCCACCCTGTAGCCCTCCATCTGGTGGGTCAGGCCGGCACTCAGGCCTCTCTTCCGCCTCCCCCATCCCCCAGTCCCTCTCCATCCTCTCCAAAAGCCCAGAGGCCTTCACTGCAGGCTTTCAGTGGTTGTCATGGCAACAAGGCTTCGTCCCTCGTCCCCCTGGGGGTGGGCTGAGGACCCGGCCAGCCAGACCGATAAGGGGGTTCCAGTTACTGTGGTAACCGTTGCAGGCCTGAGCTCTCTGCTTCTGGGGGGGGCGAGAGTGAGTGAATGGTTGCCAAAGCAACCAGGGAGCCCACAAGAACGGGAAGAGGCAGCTGAGCCCTGCCTCCCTGCCTCCCTGCCCAGGGCTGCTGTGGGTATCACAAGCACTTGAGCATCCCTCTCCCATCCCCTGCGGTGGTTTTAGGGGAGGGAGAGGAAATGCAGATGGAAAGACGGGGATCCACCCGCCCTCCCAGCTACACCTCTGACACGGGAGCCCATGCCAACTTAGCAGGGTGCACCATGAGGCCCAGGGTCAGTCAGGTCTCTCTGCACTTCGGTTTCCCCTGCCGTTAGCTGGGGCCTGTCCTGAGGGATACCCTCACTCCTTCTGACCACAGTGCTCTCTCCCTCTTGCTCGACAGGAACCACAGAGCGGGTATGCCTAGTCCAGGGCACAGCAGAGGCCTTGAACGCTGTGCACAGCTTCATTGCCGAGAAGGTCCGAGAAATCCCACAGGCGATGACCAAGCCTGAAGTGGTCAACATCCTTCAACCCCAAACCACGATGAACCCCGACAGAGCCAAGCAGGTCAGCTGGTCACCCAGAGACTGGGTGGTCTGTACGTCTGGTGAGGTTCACAAGGAGACACTCGTGGGATTTACTGAGCCAATGGCGATAGGAAGTTATCAGTCACCCGCATGGCGGTGTGAACTGGACGTGTTAGGGAATCGGCCCTGAAAGTATAAGAAGGGCCCCAGACCCCTCGAGTGGATTCACAGAGGAGTGCAAGTCTGGGAGAATTTGGTCCAGATTCTCCACTTCTCCTTTCTTAAGATTCACTTGGAACCAGCAGATGGCGTAATGGTTACATTGCTGGACTCCCACGTAGTCGACCATGGTTCAAGTCCTAGACTTGGTGGCTTAAAACTCACACCGGGTACCTGTGCGTGCATACCCAAAATCCTGAGAGGAGACCGGAGAAGGGATTGCGGAGTAGCCATCCCTGCTGGGAGGTGATTTCTGGCTTTCTGTCTCTCTGTGTATCTCTGTCTCTCCAGTGAGCGCTTTGAACCCTATAGCAAAAATCTCCCTAAGCAACCTGCCTCCTGCTTCCTGTACTCAGGGGAAGTGACCTCAACCCTGCCCAGCTATGCCTGAAGAGTTTAGATGGGAGGATGGCCTCTCATCCTACCTCCCCCAATAATTACCTTAAGGGGGTAGAGATGGTGTTTTGTTAGCGAGCGAAGGGGTGGCCGCCCCTACACAGCCCTCCCTAGGAAGGGAGGGAAGCCAAGGGCCTCCGAAGCGGCGGCGTCGGGGCGTGGCAGGGAGCGGACCAATCGCTGCCTGGCCTCGCCTGTTGCCATGACGACACTGCAGCCCGGGCAGGTGGGCTCGCTGGGTCCTGACCCGGTAAGGGATAAGGGCTAGGGGACTGGCCGCGCGCGCTCCCGGTTTTCTCTCTGATCCCTACTCCCTTATACTCGCGCACTGGGCTGCGGGCAGGCCACCTGCGAGGGTTCTTAAACGTCTGCCTAGACGCGGACAGGAAAGGGACCTTGGTAAAGAGAATCTGGGATTTTTGGGTCATTGATGTGAGAGGGACCATGGGCCTCCGTCTTCCCAAGCTCGTGGAGAAATGCGGAAGCCCTGAAGGAGCGCTGCTCGAAGGAGCGCTCCCCAAAAAGCACAGCCTGCCCCGGGCATGTAGCGCGGCCGCTGTCCTTGGTGCTGAAGTGGCTGTGCTGCTCGCGCCCGCCAGGCCTCTGGAATCTTCCCACCAGCAGGGCGCGGCTTACCCAGTTTATGGGGAGGCCAGGCATCGCCTCTTCCGCCTTGGTCGTGGCCACAAGGGACTCAGAGTTCATCAGGAGTTTGTGGATGTTGCAAGGGAAATGGGGTCAGCACCATCTGTGCGGGAGCCGTCCACTGCCTCCCCTTAATCCACAGGAACTCCGAGATGGTGGAGTGCAAAGGTTCTACGCCGGGACTTATTCTCAGCCTTATTACTCCAGGGCTCCAAAGAGTGAGAGACAGGATTGAAGTCTCAGGCTCCAAAGGCAGGTGTTGAGTTCAGTCCTGTTCTGTACTTCCTGCCTGTATGACCTTGAGCAAATGACTTGATTTCTCCATGCCTCATTTTCCTTACCTATAAAGTGAGCTGCATTACGGAGCCCATGTAGGGGTGGTGGATCATGTTCATCCGTTCTAAAGCTCGTGCAGTTCGTTGTATGCCTAATGCAGGGAAAGCACTCCCCCAAATGGTAGCTGTGTCATTGTTATATGAGATTTTTGAATCAGAACACAGGTCTACTCCCTTTCTGCGTTGGATTTGCTGCTATGCAGGACCCCATTCCCTTCTGTAGGCCTCAGTTTCTCTTCCTTTACAGTGTGGCAGCTGGGCCAAACCAGGGAATACAAGCTGAAAAGACTTCAGGATTCAGAGAAAGAGCAAAAAGGGTTGAGGGCTGTGGCCCTCTGGAGCGGGTACGTCATCCTTAAAGGGGCAGCTGCCACTCACCTCTACTCATGGACATAGTGTTGCCACATCTTAGAAATTTTTCAAAATAAGCTATAAATCTTTCTTTTTTTCTTAAATCATGATAGAGTGCATATGTGCACACACGTAAGAGAAACATCCTCAGGGCCAGCAGGTGGTATAGTGGTTAAAGCACTGGACTTCCTGGTGGCTGACTGTGGTTCAAGTCCCAGACCAGGCATCTTGAGATTCATGATAGGTGTGTGTGCATGCTTGCCCAAAATCCTCAGAAGAGAATGGAGGAGAAGGGATTGCGGTGTGGCCATCTCGACTGGGGAGTGATTTCTCACTTTCTGTCTCTCTCTGTCTTTCTGGCAACCACACGCACCCTATAGAAAAAAACCTCTCCAAAGGGAAAAAAACAAATGTGTTGGACCAGCGAGTGTTGTGCTGGTTAAGGAGGCTGGATCCTACATGGCCGTGCAGTTTGAGCCCCAGATCCGGCAGCTTGAAAAGCATGCCAGGCGTGGGTCCAGCAGATGGGGTGATGGTTAAGGCACTGGACTCTTCCATGGCCAACTGTAGTTCAAGCCCCAGACCCAGTGGCTTGAAAATCATGCCAGGTGCATGTGCATGCATGCCCAAAATGCAGAGAAGGGATTGTGGTGTGGCTATCCCCCGTAGGTGATTTTTCACTGTCTCTCGTTCTCTTTTATAGTACATGTGTTCTTTGGCAGGAGGAAAATAAAAGCATGCTGGGCATGTGTTTTTGCATCCCCAAAATCCCAGTAGGAGAATGGAGAAGGGATTGTGGCGTGGTCATCCCCCCTGGGGGTGCTTTCTCACTTTCATTCTGTGTCTCTCTGGTGAGTGCACATGCCTATAGCAAAACTTGAAAAAAAGAAAGGTGATAATAGTACTTACCTTATTTGTAAAAGCTAAGCTTGTTGTGAAGCTAAGTAAATTACTGTTTGAAATTATTTAGAAAAGTGCCTGGGTGGGGCCAGCAGGTGGCATTGTGGTTAAGTTGCTAGACTCCCACGTGGCTGACCATAATTCCAGTCCCAGACCTGGCGGCTTGAAAATCACACCAGGTGCGTGTGCATGTGAGCCTAAAATCCCAAGAGGAGAATGGAGGAGAAGGGATCGCGGCATGGCCATCCACCCTAGGGGGTGATTTCTCACTTTCCCTCTGTCTCTGTCTGACTGTCTCTGGCGAGTGCATGTACCCTATGGCAGAAACCTTAAAGAAAAGAAAAAGGAGTGCCTGGCTAATAATAAGCGAGGTGTCAGCCGTTGCCTCCACTGCTGTGGTAGTCGCTGTTGTTGGTAGTAATCGTTTTTTTGTTTTGTTTTGTTTTTGTTTGTTTGTTTTAGAATTATTTTATTTAACTTTATTTATTTATCTATTTTATTTGGACCAGAGAGGGGCAGAGTGAAAGAGAGAGGGAAATTGAGAAATCAAGCCACCAGGTCCGGGGACTCGAACTGTAGTCGGCCATATGAGAGTCCAGCACCCTCAATCACCACGCCACCTGCCACCCCCAGTAATCGTGTTTTAAAGTTTCCTCAGACCTCACCGTGTGGCCCAGGCTGGCCTCAAATTCACAGTCCTCCTGCCTTGACATCCTTAGCAGCTGGGGCCATAGTCACTTGCCACCCACCACTCCTGGCTCAGCTTACCAGACTTCTGCAGTTGTGTGATGTGACTCTGAGATTCAAGGCAGGTGTTACTCTCCGGTTCTAGTGTTCTAACATCCACGGCTCCAGGATTCTGTGGGCCGACACCTTCAGGGCTCTCTCAGATGTTGGGTCTCTACAGTTCTTGGTCTTATCAGGAGGGCAGCTCCATTTTCTTAGGGCTCCCTATTTGCCAGGCACTGGGCGATCATTCTACTCACTGAATTTCTCCAGTAGTTGTTTGGCGTAGGTATGGCTATGCTAAAATCTGGGAGGAGACCCAGAGAAGTGAAGACATTTGCCTAAGGTCACACAGTTACTCATGGGCGAAGTAGATCTGGAGTCTTGCTCTGCTGAAAAGCAGCACTCCTGCTGCCACCTGCTTCTGTCACCACCGAGCTAATGCTGACCAAGTGGTTACCATGGAGCCAATCAGCACTGGATGCTTGCCAGCACTGTATGGGTTAGGAATGACAGGCCTGTCTTACAGATATGGCAAGAGACTTTCCTAGGCCACCAAGTAGCAGGTGGCAGAGGTGGGGCTTTTTTTTTTTTTTTTTTTTTGAGAGAGAGTTTTTTTGCTATAGGGCACATGCACTCACTGGAGAGACAGAGACAGACAGAAAGTGACAAATCACCCCCCAGTGGGAAAGGCTACACCGCAATCCCTTCTCCATTCTCCTCTCAGGGTTTTGGGTGCACATGCACACATGCCTGGTGTGAGTTTCTGCCACTGGGTCTGGGACTTGAACCATGGTTGACCATGTGAGAATCCAGCATCCTAACCATTATGCCATCTGCTAGTCCCAGGGACGTTTTTTTTTTTTTTTTTTAATTTTTGCTATAGGGTATGTGCATTCACCAGAGAGAGACAGACAGAGAGAGAGAGAGGGAAAGTGAGCAATCACCCTTCAACCAGGATAGCCACGCTTCAGTCCCTTCTCCTCCATTCTCTTCTCAGGATTTTGAGCATGCACGCACACATGCCAGGTATGTTTTTCAGGCCACTGGGTCCAGGACTCATCACATTCAGGCCTGTGGGAGTCCAATGTCTTAACCACTATGCCACCTGCTGGCCCTGATCTTTTATTAAATAGCAGCTGTATTGAGATATAATTGATAGAGTGTAAAGTTCAGTTTAGAAGTGTGCAGATTCACTAGTTTTCCCTGTAGTCACGGAGTTATGCATTGATCATCATTGTTCCAGAACACTTTATCATGCCCAGAACAAACACTGCCAATTAGTAGTCACCCCCATTCCCATAGTCTACTTTTGGTCCCTATGGACTTGCCTGTTTCTGGGCCTTTCATGTAAATGGAATAATATAATATGTGGCCTTTTTTGGGGGGAAGAATGATTTTGTTTCAATTTATTTATTTATCTGTCTATTTATTTATTTATACATATATACATACATACATACCAGAA